AAACAGCACATGCAACCGCTTCTGCCCAAAACTCCTTCGGCAATTTCTTGCTTTTTAACATGCTCCTTGTCATGTTGAGGATGGTTCTATTCTTCCGTTCCGCTACTCCATTTTGTTGGGGGGATCTTGGAATAGTTAGAAGTCGACGTATTCCGTTGGATTTACAGAATTTTTGAAATTCTTTTGAAGTGAATTCTCCTCCTCGATCAGATCGCATAGCTTTGATCTTGAGACCACTCTCTTTCTCTACATCTGCTTTAAACTTCTTGAATATTCCAAAAACCTCTGATTTTTGTTTTAAGAAATACACCCATGTTTTTCGTGAAAAATCATCTATGAAGAGAAGAAAATAGTTGCTCTTACCGAGTGAGTTTGACTTTATTGGACCACAAACATCTGTATGTATGAGCTCAAGAGGCTTTTGGGCTCTTGAACTTGACTCCCTTGGAAAGCTTTTCCTAAAGTGCTTTCCGAGTAAACATCCTTCACATAATTGATCAGGGTGGTTGATGCAAGGCAGTCTTCTCACCATCTCTTTCTTTGCAAGCAAATCGAGTCCTCCAAAGTTGAGATGCCCAAATCGAAGATGCCAGAGCCAAGAAGCATCTTTATAACAGGTCTTCAGACATTTGGCAATATCATTTTGTTTTGAGAGTGAAAACATTCTATTTTTAGACATTGGCACCTTAGCAATCAAGTTACCAATATTGTCTTTTAAAAAGAGAGTATTTTCTTTCAAGTGAATATCATATCCTTTCTCCAAGAGTTTCCCTAAACTCAAGATGTTGCTTTTCATATTCGGCACAAAGTAAACATTAGAAATAAATTGATGCTTCCCATTTTTCTGACGGATAAGAATGTTACATTTGCCTTTCACCTCTATCTTGGACTCATCTCCAAAAGACACGTTGTCACTTACTGATTCATCAAGCTCTAAGAACATGCTTCGTCTCCCACACATATGGTTGCTTGCACCGGTGTCCAGGTACCATGTACTGTCTTCACCTCTTTCATTGCCTTTGTATGCTAGAAGTAGAGTGTCATCTTCTTCTTTTTTTTCTTCAATTTAGTTGACTCTTTCATTCACTTTGTACTTAGGTGCTCTACATTCTTTCGCATAATGCCCGAACTTCTTACAATTATAGCACTTAATTTGAGATTTATCATACCTCGAATTTGAGTGCCCTTGACCACGTCCTCTTGTAGATCTTTCTGCTTTCTCATAGTTATTTTTGGTACTCGATCCTTGCTTGCTAGCATGACCTTGTCCTCGTCCTCTATTGTGGCTTCTAATGTTGTTGAAGCTTTCATCTTTCTGAGTTGGTTGGAGATTTGTCTTGAGAAGTTGTTGGACTATCTCTTCATTCATCTTCTTCTTTTCTTCATGGGCTTGCAATGAAACTAGAAGTTGCTTTATCGTCATGGCTTGTAAGTCCTTCGTCTCTTCGATAATGGTTGTGATACTATCAAATTTTGAATCTAACGATCGGAGGATCTTTTCCTTATTAGCCACATCTTCTAACTTCTCACCATTTCTTTTTAGTTGATTAGAAATGGTAATGACTCTAGAAAAGTAATCGGAGACCAACTCGCCTTCTTTCATATGCAAAACATCAAATTGACTTCTTAAAGTTTGAAGTCGTTTTATGCAATCAAGGGAAATTTATTTAATGCAAAATGATGGAACTTTGATTTGCTAACCTTATACACATGCAATCCTCATTTCCTATTGAATTTATGAAACACTTCATTAGATCTTGTGCAATGAAATAGGATGCAACTAGTACATATAATACTTGTTGGTTCCAATTAACAATATATTTGTGGTGACATGAGATCTCAAATTATAATATTTAGATTTTTTTTGTGGCAAATTAGATGTATATTGTAATATCTTATCATGAAAATCTTATCATTTGTAGTTGTTTCAAACCTTTTCTATGTTGGAATGGAGAAACTTTTAGGAAATGACAAAGGCTAAAAACACAACTTATGGAAGAAGCTTCACTCTTATTTATCACCTTTACTTGGCTTGATACAAACTCAAAGACTCCACCCCTATTTATACTAGTGGCACCTCCTAAATTAATGACTAAGATTTTGCCACCACAATTACAATCCAATGGTTACAAATAATTCCACACCTACCACACAATAATTCAACACCTACCACACCTACCACACCTACTACACAATAATTTCATACCTACCACATATTCTAGAATAAGCTTATAGAAATTAAGTTTTATTTAAACAACTAAAACCAAGTTTATATTTCAACAGATACCTTTTATCTTGAGGGTCTTCCTGCAAAAAGGTATGGAAAGGAGAACTATGGATTCCAACGGCAACTTCGCCCTGAAGATATTAATTAATTACTTTCGTTAACAATAATTATAAACGGAAAAAAAAAAAAACTATATATAAAGAGAGAAAAAGAAACTCTTCATATTATAAATAAGTTCGTTTTATTTTGGATTAAAATAAATATTATTAACCGTGTTGGATGTTGGCTAAGGAGATTAACTGTAGATTTTGGCGATCACTGTAATAAAACCATGATTTAGTAAAAAATTAACGTTAATAGTTAGTAAAGTCGTACTTAATTATAGTTATGAACATCATTACAGTACTATTATTAACGCAGTTTAGATTAACTAAAGTTAATAAAAAACAAATCAAACAGGGGAAGGAGTAATCGAGAGATTGCGGTGCAGAGTTAATTTTTGATGATTCCATTTCTGATTGAAGTTGCTTGAGGCTTGAGGATAAGTTGAAGGAGAGGAGAGAATTACAGGCCACATATATATCTAAAGCTTAATTTAGATAATCAAAATGATAATTTGTTTCAGCAATATAAGGGTATTAATTCTTCAGCAAATTCTAACGGTAAAAAATTAACTCTTTAAGCACAAGATACATATATAGATGAGTTGAATAAATGAGGTGGAAGGTATCTGAAATTAAGAACACGTGCTAAATTTGGATCTACATGGCAAGACCCAACCAACAAACGTTAACTTTACTTCTGTTGATTTTTCAAACAAACTAAGCATATGATCGAATAGTCCTTAACTCGAGTTTGTCAAGTCTATATCCCTCTAGATAGCATCAGTTTAATTAACTCTGGTTAATGCAGAAATGAACATAATGACCCTATCAAACCCGTACATGCTAATTAAAAAAAAAAAAAACAGTACACTTAGGATTGATTATTGTCAATATATACTTTCATAAGTAATCTATCGATCCTATTGCTTAAAGAAGAACTTGGAACTCTGCTGAAAACGCATCATGCTAGATGCATCTTCGAGAAACTTTACCATCTATCATGAGTCTCGGGATATTCGGCACAAAATTCAAAAAATCTTTTGAGCAAATCAAACTGAACGGCTCGAGGAGACAAACCAAATGATATTAAAATTAATCTAATTTGAATTTAATCAAACTCGGATCAAATCATTGGATCATGTTTGGAGGTTTTAGACAGTCAATTGAATGATCAAATAAGCTGCAATTTTGACATGCCTAATAGTTAAATCGAGTGTTGAGATGAGGAATCCAATGAGTCTAAGCTCCATGAATTGTGAGGTCATTAAGGACATCAGATCATAAAAAAATCTCCTATGATTAAAGGGGTGGTTATTCGGTCATTGGAGCCTATAAATAGACCATCTCCCTTTACTTGATGAAGGAGAAAAAAGGAGAAGAAGATGAAAGAGTATATTTCTAGTGTTATTTTAAACTGAAGACCTGACAATAACTCCCGACCTCCAGAGCCACTGACTACCATAGACCACCTTCATCGACCGCCATCAACCACCACTCGTTGACTGCCATCAACCACCACCGACGGCCTCCAGCTTGTCGTAGTTGGTGGACACTATTGAGTAGTGAATTATCCCAAATATTCTACTGTCAGATACTTAAAAAATATGGATTAAAGACCCAATGATAACTTTCAAAGATAAACTCCCCTTGAGTACATCATTTATTATATAATGAATCTTTCTGTATACTTTATACAAACAAACATTGTACTTGGTGCATCATTGTGATCTTTCCCCAATTACGGACTTCAAGTGGATAAGAAATTGGACTAAGCCCCATGATTTTTTCTTTTTTTAAGTTTTCATATAAGATAATCTTGGTATCTTCTCCTGTTACTTTTCCATTTTCCATGCGTGTATTGGATTTTATATGCTGCTTCGTTAAATTATTACTCTACCATCATGAATTTTATGGCTCATAACTAAACTGATTCATTTATTTAAATTTTAAAATATTTTATATCGTCATATATTTGTTTCAGATCATAGTTGCCTCTTATTTTAGATCTTAATTACATTTTTTATTATGCAAAAATTTTGTTTCATTACATTGCAAAATAAATCACAAAGCCCTCAATTTTATTTGAACATGAGTGCACTTAATTATAAAAATTTTGATTAAATATTTTAATCTAGTTTTCTTTTCCAATCCCTTAAACTTAACGGCTAAAGTTGGAGAAAATATTAATTAGGTCTATGAAATGCACTTACGAATCAAAAAATATTCTGTCCGGACATCGGCATGTCTGGGCGGCCAACCACTAGCGGCCATTCCCCCTGCTGATAAGGTGTAACAAATTTTAGACCATTCTCACCTGATGGAACAACAAACTAAAAAAAAAAACAACAGAATTCCACCACAACAATCCAAAAAATTAGAAATTTTTATTTGATTACATGAGAATTTTGAACATCCAAACAATAGCAACAAGATTCAATTTTACAACATCAAGTAAATCAAGTCCCATTCCTGATAAAGTGCATATAGATTCATCAAAATATACATAGCATATTAGCATGTAACTAAAATTTACAAAAAAATGGTGTGCAATTTTGTAACACCGGATAATAATAATAATAATAATAATAATAATAATAATAAATGATAAAATAATATTTCATCATTGCAGGGCTTCTTTGGATTGATCTTCCACAATCTTCTTCGATCTCATCTTATCTTTTTCATCGACATTAATCTTCTTAATCTCTCCTTCGATTTGCTTCTGACTTGTATCCACTGCTTCCACCACATCATCAACCTGCTTAACCAAGATACAAGATTTAATTAAAAATAAACACCCGATTAATTCACTAAAATTTTTCTCTTAATCCTCATACATCTCAAAAGATCTTCACCACACTCAATTCTGTCATTTAAATTAATTGTAAGAAAACAAAACCATTAATTAAATGAGAGTAGAAGGCTAATTACCTTATCAATGATGGACTCAGTCAGCTCTGCTTCCTCTTCAACTAACAGGGCAATTTTCTCCAACTTGACTGCAACCTCCTTCGTCCCTCCTTCAGGGAGCGCTTCTGCTATCTCCTCCGCCACCTTCTCCGTCACCTCCGCCACCTTCTCCACTACCTCCACCACCTCCTCCACCGTCTTCCTCACATCTGTCCCATCAAAATCCGTTAACAAACCATTAAATTACAATAAACGCATCTGATCAGAGTACCTTTAAACCTTTGAGACTTTCTTAACATTGGTATGGCCAAGAGAACTACGGCACCCATAACAAATTTAGCCCTGATTAAACATAACTTAAATTAAAAAATTACGTTAATTAACTTCTAATTACACTTTGTATAAATATAAGTCTGACCATGTGGGGATACAGAACAACTGGCCGAGATTTAAGCCAGTATTCTCAGACGTTGAAGCCGATGTATCTTCGTCTCTGCTTATTTTCCTGTACAAAAAAAAGAAATAATAATATTAAATAGATTCAAATCTATTTTATGTTTCTGTATTTTAAAAATCTGATACCTGTTGTCTTCCTGACCGTTGGGTTCCGAAGTGGATTTGTTTGCTGATGAAGACTGCATCACAACTCCTTGTTCGAGGCGACCTGACGGAGCAGAGTTAGATACTGGCCGGAATAAAATATAGCGACGGCTGATGAGAGAGTTGCTCCTCGGCGGCGGCGGCGGCGGCGGCCGGTGTTTGAGGCATAGGGGGAAGGAGTTGCTGGAGAGGAAGGATTTGGCGACCATTTTTAGCGGCTTGTTTTAATGAATTAAGGACTCTCTGACGTGCTTCTGAACAATACAATTACTTGTGAATAAATACTTATCTTATTTTGTAATAAAAAGTGAATATGAATTTTTATTATTTGAATGTGGAAAAGTTGGCTAATTTTAGTCAAAGTCTCTAAGTGTCTTAGAAGCCATGTGCGCCGAAGAATATGGATTAAAATTGCGAAACACGTGTCATTTTTTCATTAGCAGTAAGTTGGAAATTTTAAAAAATTTCTTGTGAACATTTTGAATATTATTTGAAGAGCATTAGAATTTAAAATTTTATTTATTTTAGTACGAGTGTAATATTTAGAGTATTTTACTATTTTTATATTAATTGATTTTAAGAAAAATATTAAAAAAAATTAATTATAATTATATCATTTAACTGAAATTTCGTCTGTGTCAAAACCAAGTCAACGGACGTTTGTCATTTTCCTCTTGGTTTAAATAAGACGAAAATTTTTAAAAAATGTCGAGTTGTCAACCGTAAATATGCCAATAATCTATAATGAAAAGCAATCATTTATCTTGATATATATATATATATATATATATATATAAAGAATAAATTAATAAATAAATTAATTAAAATTTATGGTGATTTTTAAAGGCACGGCAAATTTGTGTGATTGTCCAATTAATGTTGCTTTGGGACAGTCGACCAACTACTAATAAATCGTTTTCTTCTTTCCTGGTGATTTGAATTGTTAGTTCAGTCTTGGTTTTTTATTTTCGTAGTTGGGCCAAAAGCAATTCAATATTACAACATGGAATTACACTTTTAAATATAAAATGGAAAACATTTGTGTATATATGCAAATACTACTAATATAACAACAACAACAACAACAACAACAATAACAAGTTTTTTTATCCCACTAAGTGCGGCCGACTACATGAATCCATCTTCTCGATGGTCATATTGAGAAGTGTAATATTTTCATTTAATTCTAAGACATTAAGATTGTTTCTATACAATATGCTCAAGTTTTTTTTGGGTCTATCTCTACATTCATAACATAAGTCGAATCTAAAACATCTACTCACAAAATCAGAACATCAGATAGTCGATGTTTAATGTGACCAAACCATGTAAGACGACTTGATCTCTTTAATCTTGTCTACCATTGGAGCTACACCAACCCTTGCACGGATACATTTGTTTTACATTTCATCTCTTAAGAGTCAATCCACCCATCTACCTAAGCATTCTTATGTCAGCAAGATTTAGCTTAGTCATATGCTTCTCTTTTATAGGCCAACATTCTGCACCGTAAAGCATTGCAAGTCTCAACCACCGTAATGCAAACTTTTTTTAAGTCTAAGCGATACTTTTCTATCATACAATATGTTGATGAATTCATCTGCTTCAACCATCCAACTTGAATTCTACTAATAACATCTCCATATATATCACCATCAACTTGAATAATAAACCTGAGATATTTAAAATGTTCACTCTTTTTATTGATTTGATCACCCATTTTTACAATTCTGTCACGAGACTACTTCTATTAAAATTACATTCCATGTATTTAGTTTTAGATCTACTCAAAACAGAATTATGTTTATCCTGAACTCTTTTTCTAGTCTTATCCACAAGAGGGATATCACTGGTGAAAAACATACAACAAGGTACATCCTCCCATAAATGTCCAATAAGTGCATTGCTAATGCAAAAAGATATGGTCTTAATTAAAGTCGATCTCAGATGCAAGCCAACTGAAAATAGGAAAATGCTTGGTCAATCCTACTTATGTTTGAAGACAAGTAATAACTCTACTATACATATATTTAATGACTTGAATATAAGTCACATCAACATATTTCTTTTCTAAAAGTCTCCAAAGAACTCTTGGAACCTTATCATATGATTTTTTTTTTAAATCATAGATCCTCCTTACTCTTTCTGCACTGCTCCTTCAAACCTCTCAATAAATTTATAGCTTCCATAATAGGTTTGCCTGACATAAATCCATACTAATTATAAGAAATCTAATTAGTATCACATCTTAACCTATGTTTAATTTTAATGTATGACATATTATCTTAACTCCTCTATAACTTGCACACTCTTGTGCATTCCATTTGTTTTTAAAAATTGGGATAAAAATGCTCTTTCTCCATCCTCAGGCATCTTTTTAACATTTTAAATAATATTAAAAATTTTAGTAAGCCAAAAAATTCTCAAATCTACTAAATATTTCCACACTTCTATTGAGATATCATTAGGTCCTATTGATTTTCTACCATTTTTTTATTTAAAGCCCACTCAACCTTATTTTTTATAATGTAAAGCTAAGAATAAAATATTTTAATATTATTAATGATATTAAGATCACTAAGGTTGATTGTGTTTTCAAAACATTCATTAAAAAGTTTGTCAAAATATTCCCACATATATATATATATATATATATATATATATATATATGCATGTGTATATATATATATCTCTTCTCTTAAGAAAATCACTTTTTGATTTTCATATTTAATACACTTTACTTGAAGTTAATCTTTTTTTTTTCTTTTTTCTTTGCCTGTCAAGTTTAGTCATATATCTTTCACCCACGTTAGTATGTAATATATTACAAAGATCACTAAAAGTATATTTCTTAGCATCACAAACTGTTCTCTTAGATTCTCTTTGGGCCACCTTATGATTTTCCCATTTATCTAAACTTGTATATTCATATCTATTTTGTTTAATAGAAGTTCTTGTATTTTATCTTTTCTAGTACTTTATTATTCCATTACCAACTATTTTTATTTATAAAAATATTTCTTTTGATACTCCAAGTACATCTTCTGTCACTTGTTTAATAGTACTCATTATTTTATCCTATATATAATTAACTTCTTCATTAACATTCCAAATCTTAAAATCTTGAAATGCCCCACCCTAAAAGCAAATATAAAAAGTTAAGCATGTTTGATTAGTTCTACATATATGTGTGTATGTGTGTGATATGATATAAATTGCATATTATTATATTTTAAAGTTGGTTTTAGTTTAGTAAATAACTTGTGTCTCAATCAATAAAAAAAACAAGCCGAATATAAATAGTAAATTATATCATTACTTATTGGTTCAAGTGAGATAAGTGCGCTAAATCTCAACTCTTTTATACCCCTTATTTGTGACTAAGGGATAACTTGATAGTTTATTATATGATTGCTGACATTCTTAAGCCATTATTTAGTGCGTAGAGACTCTTTATTCATATGCATGATTCATGATGCTTTGGCTTTGTCGTTATTAATTCATTTACTTTTTTAATGCTTCAATTTTTGTCATAGATGTGAGTTTAGGTGGCCGAAGAGTTAAATATTATGCTAATTGTTATATATTTATTATTAGTTGATGGCTTGTACACACACACACACACACACACACACACACACACACACACACACACACACACACACACACACACACACACACACACACACACACACACACACACACACACACACACACACACACACACACACACACACACACACACACACACACACACACAATTTTTCCTTAAAAGCTTAATAAGTGGCATTTTTTAATTTTGAGTTTTATTTGGTTGTACTACTTAGAAAAATCGCTTGTAATAGAAGTCCAGTTTTTCAACATTTCCGTTCCTAATTTATTTTCCCTTGGTGAGGTTTCGTGGTCTATTTTTCGTAACTTCTTTTTTCGTGTAATAATGAGGAACAAGGCCAACCATCAAATAATAAAATTATTGATGTGTGCTAGAAAATTTGTCACGGTGCAGTAATTGATTATCATTTTAACGTTGTACGAGAATTTAACAAATACTCAGATAAAAGAAAACAACTAATAGTGACATCAAAAGTTTTTACGAGGAAAACTCATAAAGAGAAAAAACTACGTGACCTTGCCCAACTGAAGAAATCCACTATATATTGGATATTACATGTGCAGTCCCTCGTCCCACGAGCGGGAAAGGGGTGAACACTCTTTAGAGTTAAAATGTTAGTGCACGAATGAACTTGTTGCAAGAAATGAGAGTCGGCTGATGACGATTAGATGAGGCCAACAAGTGCTGGTCCATGGCAATCAACTGTGGTCAATTGAGTTCAGCGCTGATCGACGGTGACAGGAGTGGTGCTGGACTTCAAGTTTTTCCTCAAGTCTCAACGTCTCATCCCCCTTATAAGAGGGGCATGTTTATATTTATCGTATTCCTATTGCAATTGATGCAGAAATATGAACCACTTTAATTAGATGATCCAACATACTTTCTTCGATCAAACGATATTTGATGAACATTTAAATGCCTTAACGATGTCAAAATTGAGCAATATTGTGTTCATTAGATTCTTTTTGTCGAGACGCTCGATTCAATTATAGGCTTGTTGGATTCGGCATTTGTTTGAACTCTAATTATGTCTGGAAATCGTTCAAGCCCCACATCAAGCTAATTTTGAAATAATTTTGTCTGTCTCATCGAGTGGGTCAGTTCGACTATAGGTTTGCTGAAATCAGACTCTTACTTGAAGTTTGACTGTTTTTTACTCAAAAAATTGCTTTGAGATTCATGTCATTTCTTGATATTCATGTCGGATGATACAAATTTATTGGCGGCGTATTGGTTGCCCTAGATATATATATATATATATAGACACACACACACACAAGTATATATCAAGTTTGTTGGAGATGGGAGGTATATAAAATAAAGTATATGCATACATATGTGTTATAATATGATGCACTAAGGGATTAATGGTAGTCCAACAAAGCTTTTTGTTTATGTATAATAATATATAAAACATGTTGCTAAGAATTAAAACATGCACAACTTAGTGGTCTCCTTGAACTTATCCCTTGTATTAGTGCCGCATTTGAATTTCCTTCACCAAAAAAATATAAGTTTTTTTAGGGAATTTGGAAGGCTAAAATGTGGTAATATGGAAATATTTTTAGTTTTTTTTTTATTATTTGAAATGAATAAGTCGAAAGACGATAAGGCAGAAGCCGGAAGGCCTAAAGCTAGAAGCTGGAAAGGCAGAATGAATGTTGATTTAATTTTTTTTTAATAATTGTCTTTAATGTAGACCTCCTCTTAAGCCTATAAACTGAGACAATGGATGAGGGGAAAAACCACAAGTGAGAAAAAGGAGAAAAAAGAGGATGAGTGGAGAGTGGAATCTTCTGCTAGTGAGATTTTCCAAAAGAAGAAATTTGTCCCCATTCTGAATAGCAGGCAAGCAACATGATATTCTTTCGCGTTGTGGCCAAGAGGAAAGTTGTCCCTATTTTATATAACAGACGAGCAACAAGATCTTCTTTCACGTTGATGTGAAGAGGAAAGTCATTCTCATCCTGTGTAGCAAGCAAGCCATGTAATTTTTTTTTTGTTGCAACAAGAGGAAAGTCGTCTTCATCCTGCATATCATACGAGCAACAATATCTTCTTTCATGTTACAGCGAAGAGGAAAGTCATCTCTGTCCTGCGTAGCAGTCGAGCAACCAAATCTTTTTTGTTGCGGTGAAAGGGAAAGTCATCCTTGTCTTGAGTAACAGATAAACAATGAGAATTTCTTTCACGTTGCGACAAAGAGAAAAGTCGTCTCTGTCTGTGTAGTAGGCGAACAATGTGATCTACTTTCATAGTGTAGCGAAGAGGAAGATCGTCCCTTTCCTACATAGCAGGAGAGCAACAAAATCCTCTTTCACGTTGTCGTGAAGAGGAAAGTCATCCCTATTCTGCTTAGCAGGAGAACAACGAGATTTTATTTCGTGTTGCGGCGAAGAGGAAAGTTGTCACCATCCTGCATAACAGGTGAGCAACGGGATCTTTTTTTGTATTGTGGCGAAAAGGAAAGTCATCCCAATCTTGCATAGCAGACGAATAACGAGATCTTCTTTAACATTACTACAAAGAGTAAAGCTATCTTCGTCATGCATAGCAGGCATGTAACAAGATCTTTTTTCTTGTTACGAAGCAAAAGAAATTCATCACCGTCCTATTTAGCTGGTGATCAACGAGATCCTCTTTCATGTCGCTTATGCGCATTCGATGGCGATGAAGAAATGTTAGAGTTTTTCTGCTGCGCTTTGAAGGGGAAATTTTTATGCTTCTGTAGCGACAATATCTCTTGTAAGTTTTGTATAAGCTCTTATTAGTCTTTATAACTTTTTTAATTATTTGATGTGACATTTATAGATGATGATAATGCATTTCTTTTTATGTATTTGACGTTACTTCTGAGGTTGTTGTGGCTTCTCAATCATACAAAATTCTGCAATTAAAGTTAGCGCTCACACTTTATAAAATAGAGAATGACATACCTTTTGAGGCTCGTGACTTCTGAAGTTGTGCCCTCTCGGGTTTCTGCTTTATAGGAGCTTGAAATGAACTGATACCTTCTGCAGCTCAAAGTCTTTTGAGGTCATTTATATACTTGTGACTTCTGAGGCTTGTAGCCTTATGAGGTTTTTGATGTATCTGTATCTTTTGAGGATCGTAACATTCTGAGGTATTTTAGAAAGGACCCTGTTAACCACTTGCTCTCTTGGAGTCTTTCCAATGAGGACCCTATGCCTCTCATTAAAACTTGCCTCTTGGTCTAGTCTTCCAGGGGCATGGTAGTTTCACATACACATATCACATATTTCTTGATTCACATAGAAAAGTATTTACACACATACACATCTGACATATACTGTATGCATCACTTATGCATTGAATGAAAAGTAATAGCTAATAAGTTTTAATGGCCCTTAGATAGAGTTTATTTTAGAAAAAAACTATCATTGCTCATGCACATATTTTAGCCATTTTGGTTTTACAAGTAGCAACTATTTCATAAAATAAGATAACCTAGGCTTAAAACCAACTCAATGGGCACTTATAAATGAGGTGAATGCTTATGCACCAATGGGTGACTTTTGTGCTTCGATTGTGGCATCAATGAACTTAATTAATAATATAACTAATAATATTTATTCAAATATTTACAATCCTAGTTGAAATAATTACCTAATTTTTAATTGAAATAATAACTAAAATGTAGGGAAAACCAATAGAATATTTAAGGAAATTGAAACAACCTATGTAGTGATTACTATAGCACTAAACCAAATTATCCTCCTAATTCATCTCAAATAATCAACTAAAAAAAATTATCATTGGAAAAATTGGTATTGCAAACGAGTAATCACTTGTAAAATCAACATGTAAGTATTTAAAATATTAAAACTTAATTAGAATATTAACTAACTCTAAGCAAAAAACCAAAATTTACGTTACCAAGCAACTCTAAGAAAAGTCATAAGAAAAATAGATGGCAATGATGAAAGTTTATTTAGTTATAGAGTGAAAAGGATTTTTTAGAGGTGAGTAGAGGAAAGAGTAGGAAAAATGAGGCTATTTTTGTAACTAAGCTTGAATTATCTCAAAGTCCATCTAAATTTAAGAAGCTCATAATTAATTCATATTTGCAGAAGCTATTGAACAAATATCCAGTTACATTAAGTTCATGAAGTATATATTAAATTAAAAATATAATCATGAGAACTTAAAATTATAATCATGAGAGAAGAGTGTAGTGTCATTATCTAAAGAAAATTATATCAAAAGTTGAAAGATCCTAGTAGCTTTGCTATTCCTTGTATCGTATAGGATAAAATTATTAAAAAAAGTCTTATATTTTTTAGGAGCCAGCATTAATATTATATTTTTATCAATCTTTATAAAATTGAGATTACGAGAAATATAAGTAACCGTTATTATGTTTCAGTTGGTTGTTAAATTTGTGGCTTATCCTAGGGGTGATAAACGATATTTAAGTTCCGATAAATGAATTCATCTTCTTTACAGATTTTATAGTATTTGTTATGAAAGTGAATAATGATGTTTCAATCATTCTAAGGTGACCATTTTTAGTAATTGGAAGGAAAATTGATTATAATGGTTCAAGATAAGGAAGTGGCTTTCAATATATTAAAATTTATGCAATTCTCTAAGACTTTATTGATCAATGTTATAGGGTAGATGCCGTGGATGAATTAGAGAATAACCAATTTCACTGTCATTTGGAACCTGACCCTTTAGAGAAAGTGTTGATGGTTGAAGAGAAAGAAAAATAATAGAATGAGCTTGTAGGTTCTGGATTTTGGATACTTCATTTTTGGGTGAGCAGTTAAAATGTGCATGGTGAAGGTACCAAAGTTAGAGTTTAAACTCTAAACTAAACTAGTAAAAATGCGTTCTTAGGAGAATCGTCAACACTTCCAATTATAATCTCTTTTGAATTGGATGGACTTGAGTAAGAGAAGTTCAAGCGAGTATTAAGGATTTTTAGAAAATCCTTTGATTGGATAATTGATGATATCAAAAGGCTGAGCCATTCCATGTGTACGAGCAGAATTTTAATGGAAGATAATCATCAACCAAAAGCTACGATTTCTAACTTTCATAATGAATGAAATTATTAAAAAAAATTGAAGTGATTGGATGCAAACATTATATGATCTATATTTATTAGTGTTTGAGCAAGTCCTATCCATTACACATCAATAAAGAGTAGGTTGATTGTCATTAGAAATGAGAAGAGTGAATCGATCCCCACAAGAATAGGTATTGGGTAACGAGCATATTATTTATAAAAAACTAATAAAAAAATTAGGAATGATCATTTTTCAATGCCCTTCATTGATCAGATTTTACATAGAATGTGAATCCATTCATTTTATTACTAATTGGATGTGAATAGTAGTTATCATTAGATTTTAACTGATTCTAATGATTAAGTAAAAAAATTTTACTAGTTCATATGATACTTTTGTATTTAGAACACCCTTTGTTCAAGAAAATGACCCTACTATATTTTATAGATGTATGAAGTTGATATTTTTTCCAAATTTAAATAAGCGGGGTATAAAGGTTTTTATGGAGAACCTCTTAATGTTTAGCTTTCATTTAATATGTATCTTCAATATTTAGTTTTAGTTCTAAAAAGGTGCGAGGAGATGAATCTTGCGCCTAACTGAGAAAAAATATCAATTTATGTTGATTGAAGATATGGCGGTTGGACACAAACTTTCTAAAAATGGATTGGAGATAGATCATGCAGAAAAGCTGAGTCATAAGAACCCAACCCCACCAACTTCTGTGAGAGGAATTGGAATTTTTTTTTGGGCCATGCATAATTTTATAGGTGACTCATTAATGTGTTCTCCCAGCTAACAAAACTTTCATGACATTTGTTAAAGAATGATATCCTTTATGAAATTACTCAAAAGTGCCTTAAAATTTTTCAAACGTTAAAGGGTTAGATAGTTATAACACTTCTTATATAACTTTAAAAAGACTTATCTATTTGAACTGATGTGTGATGTATTGACAATGTAAGAGTTATATTAAGGCAAATGATAGATAATATTTTCCATATTATTGTTTATATCAACTGTATCTTGAATCATTCCTAAGTCAATTATACCACAACTGAAAAAGAACTGCTAACCATAGTCTTTGCTTTTAATAAGTTTCAAACCTACCCAATATGAACTACAGTGATAATCTAAATAAATCATGCATCAATTAAGTATATGGTAGCAAAGAAAGATGTTAAACATGTGCTTATACAGTAAATTTTGTTGCTACAAATATTTGATATATAAATTTGTGATTGAAAATGTACTTGTCAACTTATATAGATTGGAATCAAGAAATAATTCCTTAGAATTATTAATATCCATGAAATTTTTTCTAACAAATATCTTTTGAGCATGGACTACATGGTATGCATATATTATAAATTTTTCTTTGAGTGATGTTGTGCCTTAGGAGTTAACTTATAATAAAAAATAAATAAATTAATCCATGACATTAATTTTTATTAGACGACATGTGTTTAGAATAAGTAGATATTATTATTAGGAAGTGTCACGAGTTTTAGTATGGGGGCATTACACAATAAATAAAGTATCAATTAACATAATATAATCTAAATTTTATTAGTTTACACTATTTAAAGATGTCAATGAATTGATTATGAAGTGTGATAAATATTAATAAAGTAGGCATCATAAGAAAAAAAAAGAAACGCCCCTTAAAAATATACTAAAAATTGAAAATTTTTATGTTTGGGGAATTGATTTCATAAAGCCCATTATAGAATCATTAGAATATCAATATACATTGCTAATACTAGATTATGTATTTAAATGGATTGAAATAATTGCTACACCTAAAAATAATTCTAGGATTTTATTGGCCATTTTAGAAATGCCTCTTTCAGACTAATAATATATAGAAAGAGTATGAAATTTCATTCAAATATAAACTACATGAAATTCCTCTTTAATAGGTTTATGGTCATATGCCAACTTCTTGAAAATAAAAATTTATTTATGGCATGGTGTTATGAAGTTTGAGCACTATGATGCCTTTTGGCTTAGCTTTTAGAGAAAAAAAAAGGTAAATGGGGAAGTGAGCAAATCCTTTTTAGTGGGCTTATTCTACGTGTCATTGACAGGTGTTCAAGGTTACGTCTAGGCCCCTTAATATTATTGAGTTTCCCGGCCCAATTTACTCTAGTGGCGCTGTTTTACACGTGGATCCGTCTTATCGAGTTCTCACACCCTTTAGAAAAAGACGTTTCATTGACACCCGAAATCGGACCGCAACATAATTTGAGTTCCATATTTTGCCACATAGGTTTTCTCAGCTTGGGTTCAGTTAAACATAAAGTGCAATTAAAACAAAATTAATGCAGTATCACCGCTACATTGGACTTCCTATTGCAGGTGAGACCAGCCACCAAACGCGGAAATTCTGCTACTTATCCACACACCATCCGGTAACTTACCGCCAGACCCGGCTGCGTTTTGACTACCCTTCTCGGCGTCCCTCATCTTCAGTCCACGGAGAAATCCGAGATGAGGCGGAAACCTCGTTCTTCCTCCACCTCTAAACCCTAAACCTAATCGATCCGATCCGATACGATGGCTTCACGCCATCTTCTCCTCTTCGCTGACAGCAATAGTAGCTCCAATGGAAGCTTCAACTTGGACGGCAACATCACGCTGGATTGCATCTTCAATTGCATCGGCTTTTGTTTATCCGGCATATGCATCCCTAACCCACCTATAGCGCCTGTTTCGTTGCCACACGACGACAACTCCAGCGATACTACCATTCAGATTAACCTTCATCACGGCGATCGACTCACGCCATCCCTAATAATTGCAGTCGTCTCCGCTGTCGCCGGCTCCTTTGCACTGCTTCTCACTCTCTACGCCTACCTACGCTTCCGCCGCCGCACTCTCCGACAACAACGTAATCCCGGATCGGAAGCCGCAGCCGATGCTCTCAACGACAACGACGACGAAATCGGTGGTGATCTCCCTCCCGGCGGCGAGATCGAACACCACATCTGGTATATCCGAACGCAGGGTCTTGATGATAGCACGATCGCGTCGATCACCTCCTGGATTTATAAATCTAGCGACAGCCTCATCGATAGTAAGGATTGTTCTGTTTTCTTTGGCGAGTTCTATGATGGCGAACTGGTACGCCTGCTCCCCAAGTGTAGCTACGCCTTTCACTTACCCTGCATCGATAGGTGGCTCAGATCTCATGTTAATTGCCCTCTCTGCCCTCTCTGTCGCGCTCCGATAGTTTCTCCGGCGACTGCCACTGTACTCGCACCTTCTCCTGCTTCTCCTGCAACTGCCGTCATCTCAGATCCAGCAGACCCAGTAATTGGCTCCCCTGCTCAACTCGAAACCTCGCAAATCGAGGCCTTGCCATGGGAAAACGTTAGCGAGGATTTTGAGGTCGGAATTGTGACCCAACCAAGTGGAGTGTCATCTTCTCGGCCTTCAACTTCACAACTGCCGCCTAATTCGTTAGAAGAAGAAGATAACTTGCAGCCAATCCGGCGATCGGTTTCGATGGATAACTTCTCTCTGGATGTGATTATCAGCCACGGTAGTAGGACAGGAGAGTACTCAATAGCTTCTAATAGAGAGAAACCGAGGGGCTTTTTGAAAGGGAGCCTTAGTCGAAAACTACATACAGAAATGGATGGATCTCTTTCCGTCCAAAGTTCGAGGTGGTTCTTTCCCAGGTACGGGCGTCCCCGAAACACCGTTCTGCCATTGTAAATTTAGTTGGAGCTCTTTTTTTTTTTTTTTTTTTTTTTTTTTTTTTTCTTATTTGTTTCCCTTAAAACAAAATCCTCTTTTTCCCTCCCTTCTGTTAACATCGGCTGGCGACTTCAATGTAAAATCTTGGTTTAGGAGGATGCCCACATGGCAAATGGAGTGAATGACCCATTGCCGCTTTTAAATATCTCACCACAGGAAAGCTTGAAAGGATTAAAAATGAATCCTCTCTTGCTAGTAATAATAGTTTTGTTTAGATGCCAAATGATGGCACTGACGCTTGTTTCTATATCTTAACTATCTCTCGATGCTTTTTTTTCTATAATTCTGAAACTTAAAGTATTGCCAGCTTCATTTATTGCTGTTTCTCTTTCATACTCATTTGCGGCATCCTGAATTTGGCTGATAATCTGGTAATCTTCCCGGTCGTAATAGCGGAAGAAGTGTGTTTTATTGCTTTTGTGAGTTTTTAAGAGCTGTCTGAGAACAAATTTAAGTGGAATTTAACTTAAGTTTATAAGAGAAAAATGGCAAATTTTAGATTCTGAATTTTATTTTCTTCTCAATTTACCTCACCTTTTGTCTTAAATATCGAATTTATTAGATCAAGTGCTGACAGATTTAGGAAAATCGGATTTACAGAATTTACTTAAACTGTTACCAATTTTTTGTGCTACTGACCAGTAGCAGTGCAATGACTTGTAGCGTATTCATGTGTGCACCGAAATTAACATTTTAAAGGTTATCGGGCTGCAAAATAGGAGCAAAATAGATGCCAGTTGTAAGAAAGCTTGCAAAAATACTTTTTAGGGTGTTTGATTTAATTTAAGGATTGTTTGATATCTTATTTTATGAGAGTATTAAGCAAGATTTAGCTTAAAAAGTAGTAAATAAGGGCAAATTAGTTTGAGTATGAGCAAGTTTAATTTTTGTATTCATGTTGGGCTTATTAGGCTCATTCAAATTTGGGACTTTCTGATTTTGTTTCTTGTTCAATTATGCTGTGGAGCAGAGTGTTTGTGCTATATCTGCTTTAGGCTCGATTAGCTGATATTTGCTTGATAGGCTCATATTTGTTCAGCTCAATAGGTTAAAGGCTCTAATTCAAGTCTCAACCAAATCAGTAAGGAAGAAGAGTTTTGTTAGAAGACAAAAGTGAAAAAATAATTGGAAAAAAGGATAACCTTAATGATTTTGGAGTTTTGAAATAGAAAGGGAAGACATTTTTTATTATATTGGTCAACAACTGAATGAAAATAATGTTGAGGAAGTGTTGTTTTTTTCCTTTTTCTTTTTGTGCATTTGTATTATTTTGGTTTTAATGTTAGTGTTGGGCACAATATTATTTGACTTCAATACTCTGTGAAGAATGCAAGTAGAAACCGTTTTATTAACAATAAAACGGACCTCTTTTGTAAACAAAAAAAGTACCTTTTTTTTATTTTCTTTACTGCTTATCTTGACTATATTTGATATTAGTTAAAGATAATCTGGCTGCAAATATTCAGCTTTTAGGATTGTGTTCAATTTGAGCATCTAGCATGTTAGAGCTTGCCATGAGCTCAATTCGAGCTTAGTTCAATTTAGATTGTTGAGTTTATTAATGAGAATCTTGTTCGGGAAGAATTAAGAACTTTATCGAATTAAGATTCTTGAGTTTTAAATGATATTGTTCATTATCATAAATGAATCTAACACAAGTTATTCAAGCATTCATTTACCAGTCAAATCGTACCAAAGGGTTTGAGTTCGTTTGATTAGCTAATGAAACGAACTTAAATGTGTTCTGATTGAGCCAAATTATGAACAGTTTGTTGAACGCTTAGTTTATTGTAGTCCTGAAAGATAAGTTGTGTTGAAGGATTCATTGAATCCAATCTTCCAGCTACTTTGATTTATTATGAAAGTTAATTTCCTTGTCAGTTAATTTATGTGCTAAAGGGTTATCTATATATATATATATATATAACGTCATTAAGAAATTTTTATCATTTAGCATGAAGCTCGCAATACTTTTATATAATGAACATTTCATATTCAAGTTCAAGATTATCCAGAGCTTTGATTTCTTATAAGCAAACTAGCTGTCTCGACAAGACAGACTCAATAATACCAAAATTGGATCAATTCGAGTCCAATCAAGCCATTAAAACACATTTGGAGACTTTGGATCGTCAGTTGAAGTCCCGATAATAACTTATGGCTTTCTTAGTTGCGGACCACCGTCAACCACAACTGACCGTCATTGCTTCTTGCTACCGATGATACCTGCTTTCAAATGTTGTATCTCAAATATGATTATAACATTTAACTCTCGTATTGAAGACCCGATAATAACTTCAAGCATCCAAAGCTGTCGTCGATTATCGTCAGCCATCACTGCCGGCCACTGCCAACCGCCAAGCATCGGGGACTACTATTTACGATCGTTGTAACTAGAATACGATGGTTTTGCTTGACACCAGTAGCATTCTTATGATGTATAATGGTAACTGTTGTCTCTTGTATAAAATAGTAACCTCAATATCCATGTTGTGAGAGAAGTTTAGTAGCTAATTACAGCTTTTGTGGGGCTGATTACTACTCTTATAGCTTCCAACAATGGCGCCTGTGGCCAATTGTCGCTATCATAGCCTGTAAGTATGGTCTTTGTGGCCAACTGATGATATTGCAACTTTTAACCATGTCCCTTGTGGCCAACTAGTGCATGTGCCGCAACAAAGTATGATTTTTGTAGCTAACTATTACTGTTACATCTTTCAACCGCAGTCTCTGTGGCCAACTGATGATGTTACAGTTATTAATTACGACTTATGTGACCAACTAACGCTATTTCAGTCACCAACTATTGTTCATGTGGTCAATGAATGTTACTGCAGTAAATAACTACAACATATGTGACTAACTGATGTTATTGTTATCGCCAACTACAATCTCTATAGTCAACTAACGATATTGTAATTTTCAACCGCAATCTCTATGACTAACTATTGTTCTTGTAACCATTAACTACGGTTTTTGTGACCAACTATTATTGTTATAGCTTTCAACTGCACTAGTTGTGGTCAATTGTCATTATTGCAGTATCTAGCTACAGTATTTGAGGCCAACTATTACTGTTATGGTTTTCAAGTACGACTTATGTGGCCAAATGTCACTAAAGCAATATTTATTTTTTTTATAGAAATTTGCATAGAAACTACACAATTTTTCTGTATATAGATATGTAATATTTAAAATATGAAATTTACATCTATACGGGAGACTCCACCACAAGAGTACTCAAGCATCTCTATAGGCTCTCCGTCTGTGGATCACCAAGAGATTGTTGTGATATACATTGCAGGTAACGTGGGAGTTGAGTCGGGCGTGTCGGTGCGAAACTCGCAGTGGAAGACATGGCTGCATATTAGGAGTATGCGGAGGCATTCCGCGCACTCTATCGACTCTTCACTCTCCCACACTCGTACACCATCAGAAAAGTATCGACAAGCAAGAAGTTTTTTTATCTTACAAGCAAGATATAAAGCATCCCAAGAGTATACAAGATATAAAACTTTACAAGCAATTAGTTATTTTAAAACTTGACAAGGAGAAAGGATGCAGGACGTAGGCGAGATGTTCGAGCAAGTGAGAGGAAGGGGAGATTCATCGCTGGGGAGGGGGTGAAGAAGACTCATTCGAGTGCGCGGTATGCTTCTGGGAATGTGAGGTACCAATCATATTATTATTGTCATTGATCAAGAGGTGGATTTGGCAGATCGATCCACTTCATAGCGAGAGCCAGAGCAGGTCGGGATCTAGGTCGGTGAGGGATTCCGATGAGTTCGGTCTCAGGAAGTAATTCGTTTAGATGCTTTGATTAAAATGATATATTTAACGCACTTTTGTACAATTATGTAAAATTTTATGGCAACGTCTCGCCCATTTAATTTGAGTATGATTTAGCTCTGTCATTTTATTTTATTTATATGAGACTTATATTCATATAGTTATAACCCCTTTTTTTCTTAATGCATTTTAATAGAATAACATTATTAGTCTTTCTTCTTAAACCAAATCAAATTCGTCATATTATTGTTTAGCACAAAGCCATTTCATAATTGTCTTACAACAGAGTCAAAATTATTGAGTAGTGTGTTATGGCGGATTAAACTGTCATAAATGCTACAATTTCTTAAAAAATTATATGCTATATATTAAAAAACTCAGTTTAACATAAGAAGTTCAAATTCAATACAATTTCTCAAATGTATTTGAATTTAAAGAATATTTAATTCGTCCCATTTCCAAAATAAAATCTCCTCTCTTATTTCTCCTGCTGACTCCTTATTGAAACCTTTATTAACAAGAATATTTTGGAATTTATATCAATTGAATTTGTGACTTAGGTTCGGATTAAAACTCAAAATTTTTTGATCTGAACCTAACTCAAATATTCAAAGTCTAACAGGATCTTAACTCACATTCAAAATGATTGGTCTGTAATTCATTTAACAAGTTTATTGTCAAACATATCATCTGGATAAGACGAATCCAATAATATCAAATTTGGGTCAATCCGAGTACAATTAAGCCCAAATCATGCAATTGAAGTACGTTTGGAGGTTTTGGAGCACCAATTGAATAATCAAATGAACTTTAAATTTGACATATTTATAGTCAAATCGACTGTTCTAATGAGAGGAGTCTGACAAGCTCAAAATCACTCATATATGGGAGGTCACTAAGGCACTCAAGTTGTTAAAAAATCCTTATTATCATGAGGGATTATTATGAGTTGTTTGATTGGGTGGGTGGGGAAGTTTTTCCCCAAAATACTAAAATACCTTTCTCCAAAGTCAATAAATAGACCATCTCTTTTCACATGAGAAAAAATGAAGAAGAGAAATTTCATATCCTGTTCTAGACTGAATATCCAGTGATATCTTTCGATCTTCGTAGCCGCAAACCACCGTCAACC